CTTGTGTGTCCTATGCTCTATTCTGGCTGCCTACTAGATTCAGGTTGTATTTATTTGTGATGATAATATGACTTGTGACGTATTTAATTTATGCTGGGTTTCACCTACAAGGTTTTAAATAGCTTATGATGAATCTGCTTGAGAGAATGCAGCTGCAGCAATATTGCATGGAGAAAGACAAGGTGAGGCCTTCTAGCTGGGCTACCCTCTGTTTGAGGGAGCTGGAGTTGTTGGAAGAGAATTCTCACTGGTGAGGAGTCTTTCTACTTCATAATCCACTTCCCCACCCTGATCTAAAACACCCTACAACTATCTAATGCACACAGCCAAAAATATCTAGAATAATATTTTAAACTACTTTAAGTTTGGTGAATCAGAAATATTTCTCCAACAATGGGGAGTAAAGTGAGTTTTGGATAGAAGTAGGGGTTTTTAAGTCAATGGGATGAAAATAAAAGGACTGCTCTTCTGAATTGTACCCCTTTTGAACCACACTAAGTAAATCCTCATTCCTACATTTGCACCCTTAAGTGTCTAGTCAGGTCAAAAATAAGAACAAAGACAAAACTTAAACCGATCCAACCTCTCAAGGGGTAGAAACATGCTCAGGTTCTATTTTATAAATGTACTTGGTGCATCTTGGTTCCCTGGTTCCGGTAACCTCAAAAGCAATTCAACACTGTGAGAGAACCTGTTCTTGTGGAATTTGTGACCTGACAAAGCAAGAAGGGTCACTGAGTAATGAGACAGCTTTTTCTTGTAAGACTGCAGCCCAGCAAAGAAGAGCCAAGTTACATGGAGCAACTTTGGGTTTCACAACCACATTTTCTCAGCTTTGCCAAGTGCTGTGTGTAAGCTTCTCTTAGGTCAGGGGTGTCAAACATAAGGCCTGGGGCCAAGACGCATCATCCAGCTCCCAGTGCTGGCCCTGGGTCTCAAGTAGACCCACATGCCACAAGTGCATGCTGGACTGGCCTTGGGCACAGGGCCTGGGAGATGCAACTTGGGTCCCAGAGTAGGTGCGTGTGGCAATCCTGCTCCCAACCTCTCCATCCCCACCTCCCCAATGCTGGATCCAGTGCCCTCTCTGGCTGGTCCAGAACGCGAGCCATACATCATGCCCACTCCAGCAGGTCCAGGGCAGGCACCGTGTGTACCACAGGTCCTAGATGGGATGCTACATCTGGCACAGTCCAGCTAGATCAGATGCTGGATCCAGCATGCTGGGCATGGGGGTCTGAGGGTTCCCCACATGCCAGATCCAGGACCAGATCTAGCAGGTCTGGGACTGTGCCACATGTGGTGCCTGCTCTAGACCGGCTGGAGCAGTCGCTACATGCGGGTTACATTGCAGACTGGCCAGAGCAAGGACTCCTGGTCTCAGACCAGCTGGAACAGGTGCCAGGGCACTGGATTGGGCAGGCTGGGGAGCAGGAATCCTACTCTCAACAGACAAGCCTACCTCGAGAATGTGGTCTCCAGGTGCTATTCGTCCATCCGTAGCAACAACAGAATCCCGAAGGATTTCCTGAACCACAATGTTCCCCAGAGGGGTATCTTTACCCCCAACTATCCTCATTCCAAGTTCTTCCTCTGGGTCTTCTCGTTGAATTTCAATGGTGCTGGTTTCGGCCACAAGGCTAGCTCTCTGAGGCAGGTCTGGTTGTGACAATTGGAGAAAAGAAACAACATGAATGTACATAATACTTCTGAGTCTATTCATATAATTTCACGTAATTCAGGATTTTCAATGCTGTTAGGACTTGCTTTGCTTACATGCTCAAAGATGGTTATGGGGGAGCAGACAGGGGAGTAGGCAGAGGGCATTTAGAAGAAAGGATAGTTAATAAGCTAGTTTCCTAGTGTTCCCCTACCACTTGCCAACTTGTGCTCACTTGCTACAAAGACAATTGCCACAAGGTGCAGCAAGACTGGCAACATAGCTTTTGCAAAAAGATATGTAAATTGCCATTTTGAGATGTTTCTTCTTCATGTCAGCTGGGTTACCAAAAATCTAATTGATTAGGCCTAGCAGCCAAAAGGTCCCAAATTCCATGCTCAGGCCATTAGAGAAAGGGACTTGGTGTCTCAGTCTCAGGGGAAAGGAAGCAGTCTGGAAGCTCAGCACTCCTGAGTTTATAATCAGAGATCTGACAGTGCATTGGCATATGATTTTAGGCATGTAATTTAATCTCCCTGCTTCAACTTGCCTTTCCTTTCTCTCTAAAATGGGAGTAACATGTACAGCTTCATAGGAGTACTGAGGATTCTGATGATGAAAATTGTTAGGTCTCCCTGCATTTTGGCAAATTAGGTTGAAGCCATCATCACGGCAGTGTGCGTGCACAAGCCAGACATTTTGTATGTAGCAATGAAAGCAATCTCAATGGCAGCCAAGTACAGCTGTAGTTCTCTCACACAATGGTGTGAACAGGGAGCCTTGGGTATACTTGGGGAAACTCCAACATAGAGCCAAACTAACCTACATGTTACCTAGGTTAGTCAGCAGACATATTTCCACTTCCCCTCTTTGCCCAGCCCAATCTTGCCTAGGCACAAACATAAGTTTAAGAAAAGGATTCTGAAACGTGCTGTCAAGTGTTCTAAAGGTTTAGTCAAGCAGTGCTGTTTTTAAGCTGAGATAGTTACTGGCAGCACAACAAGCCTTCTCCTCCAGTGATTAACCCAAGCATTAATATAGGCCATAAACTTCTTTGTTATCAGTAGAGAAGAAATATTAATTAATAAATCTGTAATAAATAGACAATTGCCTCTCCAAAGGGGCAAACATAATATCAAGATGAGATTGGAGCCAATTCCTTGTACTAACTGTTTGGCCTGTTTAAATGCTTAGTGGCCATTAGGGAGAGACATGCACTTTGTGTCCTTGCAGTACAGCAAGGGGGTGATTTCTGAGCTTCTAACCTGTCGTTTTAATTGGTGCAGTGTACGTGGCTTATGCACGGATAACTGTGGGCTAGCGGGGCTGAATTTCCCTAGCGTCAAAATGGGATAACCTGAACAGCTTTGATGGGAGCATTGTCTAAGTTGCTCCAGCATCCTGCAGCACTCCACTCCCCACACCTGCTCTCCAGCACACTCAGCTGTCTCTGAGTCCCTGTCTCGGCTGATCATGCCAGAGAGTGCACGCGCATGTGTATATACAATGGAGTGCAGAACTGTAGGATGCTAAAGGACCAGCAAGCCCTTATTATATTCCCTGGCTGGAGACTGAAGGTGTCTGAAAATGGGACAAAATAGTTCACTTGAAGAAACGAATGGGATGCCTGGGACAGGTGCTTTTAAAACAGGACTGTCCTGGTGACAGTAGGACATATGCCACCCTACCTTGGGCCTGCAAAATGATTTTGCTGTACACACACCTCTCTCTAACGGAGAAACAGGGGATAAGGAACATTACTACTGTTAGCGCCAATGGCCCAAGACGTGGAGCTGAAAGACCAAGCATGTGTGTATAGAGGAAGTGTCAGTACTAGCCAGTTTGGTGACAAGCTCATTGGAAGAAAAACATCTGAAACGGAATCGGATTTCATACCATGCAAAGCCACGCAAGCAAGACATTATAAATATTTGCAGAGAAAGTCCCACCTTCTTCACCCTCCTCAAATGCTGGATTAACCAGTCCAGGCTCCGCTGTCCCTAGAGATACAACAGCTGCCATAGAGCTTTCTGCCACCAATGACGACCCTCCATTTGAGAGACCTGGCTCTTTGGCAGCACTTGTGTCCACACTGATAACAGGCTCTTCCTTCCCTTTGGAGTGGGGATTCTTTCTTCTTTCTAGTTCAGATCTGTATTTCTTGAAGCCAAGACACCTAGAGAGGGATTGGAGATCAGCCATTCAACACAAGCCATGACAATCGCTGTTTACACTATAAACCTATCACACAAGTGTGTGTGTGTTGGGGGGGGGGGGGGGGGGTGACGTGACGTGACAGTGTTTCCAGACAGAAGCTGGAAGTTGTGTCAGCCACTCAATTTGCAACAGTTGGTGCGAACAGAGATTCTTTCACGCTGGGGCCTCAAATTGATACTGAAAAGACAGAGGTGTGGAAAACTGGAAAGCAGATTTCCTCATCAAATTGTTTTAATACATCTGAGAAAGGGACAGTAGAAAGGGGCGTTCTTCTTTTCAAATATTTACCATTCTAGCCCTACGGCTCCCAGTGAAGGCGAGAATACATTTTCCAAGGATAAGCAAATACTTACATTGGCTCCAAAAGAGCAGAAGGATTAAGTGCATGAATTATACCTTTGAGTAACAGTAGTCATGATTCTGACATTCAAGGCTTCACTGGAAACTACAGTTCCTACCAAACCCAAAACACACAAGAGGACTGAGTTTGCAGAGACTGATCTGTGGCAGGATGCTGTGTCAGGGGGATGGGGGGGATACAGGTGATACTGCCTGCCACCCCACCTCCTCTCTGGGGTAGAGCCGTGGCATGAGGAGAGTGGCAACAGAAGCTATGGCAGCAAGGTAGAGCTGCGGCCCAGCCCACCAGCTGGCAGTGGGAGAAGGCGAGAGCAGTGTGCCCCACCTCTCCCCCCATCAGTGAACTCCTTGCACTGCTGGTGGCATGGCTGGCATAGGGGGGTCCGGTGGCAGTGGCAGTAATGAGTCTCACCCCCCCTGTTCTGCCCTCCCATGCAGAGTCCCGCCTGCAGGGCCACAGAGGTGGCTTCTGCCTGTGCCAGTCCAGCCAACCTGCAGCCCCATGCCCTCTGTGGGTGCACAGATCTGGGGGGGCAACATGCCTTTCCATGCCCCACCCTACTCACCACACACACCCCCTGCCCCACACAGTGACTTTGGGGTGAGGGGCATTGGCAGGGTCAGGGGGCTGTTATCTACTTAAACTGTGTACTGGCTCGGGACTGGCCATCGATGTTTACAAATGGGTCCTGGTACAATGAAAGTTGAGAACCACCGACCTAAAGAACCTTTTAAAATCCTCTTTATTCACAGAGAGGCCAAAGATTGCTTGAGCAAGGCTATTTTCCTCAAGTGCCTGAAAGTAGAGCCTCCAAATAAGCGAGTCATACTAAGCCTGCAGCTTGAAAAAGCTTGCTCCGGTTCTGCTGTCCTCATGTTATAGCAAACAGGATATCTCTTGCCCTTTTATAAGCACAGAGCTCAATACAAAACAAAAGGCAAACCCAGCCCGCAGCCACACAACAGCCAAGCCATCAGAACAGTACGGAAGCAGCAGGTGCTGGAGAACAAACTGCTGTTACCAGCCTCGATAAGAAACAGGGTTGCACGGGTGAATTCAGAAGCATCCGATTCTGTTTACTGCTCATCTGAAGAAAAGCCACTAGGAAGGCCGGCTGGCAAAAGCCTCAATAGTAGCTTTTCCATTCTGACCTGTTAAACTGGCCTGTGCTGCCTAGCCCAGTCGTGCTGCCCTTTGCAATGATGCAATAAATGAGTCTTCAGACAGCTCCACCACATATTTCTTCCTCACTCTGACCTTTGAGTTTCGGCTCCTTCCTCTTGTTTGTTAAAGTCCAAACCACAATGAAACTCAAGTCTAACCGTGAGCTAGGACTGCATTTAAAGACAGCCTTGCAGGGAACAGCTAACCACTGCAGAAGGTGTTGGTGGCTTAGCAGAAGACTCTCCTCCCTGAGTCAGTGATATCATTATGTCAGTGCCCAACATAATGATATCCTCCCAAATAACCAAGTATCCTGTATCATTCAGGGCATGATCACTGTAGAGGTGTTTACTGAAGTATCCTGCTCTCATTCCACTTTGCATATTGCATTCTGGCTCCTTCAGTTGCTTCGGAGTTTCACCTCTGCTCATATTTCTTCCTGGTTGCTCTATTCCCCTGTGCAAGGTGGCCTACGGACTCCTCCCTGAAGTAAAAACCAATCAAGCTGCTCATTTGCATGCACTTTATATAAACCCAGTTTCCAACACACATGTTTTCTAACAAACTGTACGTGCAGGAATAGCCCTATTGGCCATTTTATTATGACTAATGTTTAGGCATCTGATCTACTGCACTCGTAATACTTATGAAGCCAGACTGCAGAGACCTGCATTCACATCCTTTCTCCTCCACTCAGGGTCAGACAAATCTCCATATTTGGGGTCAGGGAAAAATTTTACCCCATGGTCAGATTGTGGGGGGTTTTGCCTTCCTCTGCAGCAAGGGGTATGGCCTTCTTCCTGGGATCTCTTGAGCATATATTAACAACCTTTTCAGAAAAAGGACATTGCCTGCCCTGCCATGGTCTCCCTGTTTTACCTGTGGCAGGTTAGGGTATTATGTCTTGTGTTGTGTCAGGGTTGACTAGTTTTGCTAAGGGGTTAGACAATGGATTTGTATCGGATGATGTGGATAGGGATGATCATGCCTCATGCAGGGGGTTGGACAAGATAACCTATGGAGGTCCCTTTCAGCCCTTCTCTATGATCTGTGATCTTACAAAGTGCAAAGACAAAGGTCAGGAGTTTCTAGGGCGTCATGGCTCTCTCAAATGCACAGTGGTAGCTTAGGACAAGATCTGTAAGGGCACTGTATGCAGCTAAATGTGGACTTAGGTAGAATCTAGACACTTAAGTCCACAAAGCAATCCATGGGCTGCCAAACCCATTAGGCACCAAATTCATTCTACATTTTACTCCTGACAGTTTCTTTGACATCTCAAACTTCAACCCCTGCCTGTGCGAAGAAGCACCCTGTTTTGAGCAGCTGAGCACCGAACTCCGCGCACAGAAGTCCAAAACTGAGATGGATCAGCTCGTAGGCAGTTCTCCGAGTTACTTAAAAAAAATATAAAAATATATCTAATGACTCATACAAAATGCATCAAAAACAGGGCTCAGAACCCAGGTCCTCCTTCTTCTAGCCTTAACTCTTGGCCAACCGATAGACTCCCTCAAGTTTGTTTTCATTCTGGCCATCGGACTTCTGCACTTTTGGTAGATAAAGAGACTAGATTTGGATACCTCTTACGCAGCTGAAGGAAGGCACAAGCAGTCCTAGTCCTGCAGAAGCAAAGGACAGGTACTGCTTTATAAATTCTGAAATCTCAAGTTGTTGGTGTTTAAACACCTGGAGAGAGCACTTCAATAGGCACTATAGATTCTAAGGATAAACACTGAAGTCCTTGATGACTGGATAAAACTGTAGCTGTCATCGCTACAAGGGTCCAGGGAATATACAAGCAGCAAGATTTTCTGGCAAAAGCCCCTTCACTTTATAGTTGGGAGAGGCATTAGTCAAGCTTTCAGGCACAAAATGTCCTTCTGCAGGCTTATGCAAGAAACCAATCATCATCTTCTAAAACTCTCCCTCCCTCCTGCCCTCAGTGACACTACACAACTAAGCAGGAGGATGTCAGAAGAACTGAGAAGTCACCTTCTCTGGAGCAGGGCAGGCAAAAGGGATTAGTTTAAATAAGAAATTATTATATATTCAAAAAATCCAAAAGAAACAAACCCAGAGACATACTTTCTGCTATACAGCAGAGTCAAAACTACCGTATTAAAAAAAAAGGCTTGGATAAGACAGGAAGGATTTGCCTAGCACAGTCATTACCTTACAAGGCTCCCATTTTTTTCCCCCTTTGGTATTGTTATAGACCAACATGATGTTTCAAATCTACCGTGTTACCTGCTAACAGAATATGCTGCCACCACAACTCTGCCTTTGTTTACGGGAAGGCTTGTACCCGGCTCCGTTCAGAACGATCGTTAACGAGGAACAAAGGTTACTTCCAGCAGCAGGGAAAGAACCCTTTGTTGTGCACGCTTTTCTAAAACCACAAAGTTTTGTCTGCTATGAGCCAAGCTACTTGGCAGTGAAAACACCATACACCTGTGCTGAGAAATCCAATGAAAAGTCAAATTCTCTTTC